TTAAAACAGAAATTGTTTATGATATTATTTACACTAAAGATTTATTTCACATGGGAAGATGCTGACATATCTACCCAAAACCAAAAATATTGGAGGATCCCTTGCTGCCTGATATGCTTACATAGTATGGGAGGCTTTAATGCTATTCATTTTCTCTGGGTTCTTTTGCTTATCCTAAATAGGAGGGAGAATAGTGAGATTTAAATAATACCTTAATCTCTTCCTCTTGAAAGCTTACAATAGCCAAGGAAATCTTAAGTCTGCATTTCTAACCAAAAATATTTTTGTATTTTTGGTAAATATCCTCAAAAAAATCAAGAGGGACCCATAATTAAGCAAGTGTCATATTAAAATAAATCACAAATAAAAAAATCTCCATGATATAAAATTTATGTCATAATTTCAACAAATGCCAAGTTATAATATCTGCAATATAATAGTACAAGATATAAAATATCCACATTCAACCCACTGCCTACAGGGAAGAAACATCTTTAATTGAAATTGAACATACCTCCCATGTGTCTAAAATACTTGTGTTACTGGATATCAACATGCCTTTATCATCCACAGGAAACAGATCATCTCCAGCCTGTCAATAAATACCAAGAGCCCAAGTCAGTTTACTTCTAAACTACCAGTAAATAATGCTGAAAGGGTTGCATGACAGGCACAAAGTATCAGGACCATATGTTAAGTTGCAATTCAAAAGGATTTACTGCTCAGCCTATAGACAAGAATCTAATCAACTAACAGTGAATTCTAAATTGGTGCTACATAAGAATTTACAGAATTTGGTGGGGGCGCTGGACATGATTGATCATTTGTGACTCTAGACTAATTACTCACTTAACTCTGCCCCCTGGCTCTGCTTCTTTCCTACATTATGTCCCTGATCAGCTGGAGGACCATGCACATCATCAGCCAAGAGTGGTGACATCAAAGTAAACATAATTTCATATTTTTTGAAGGTCACGGCTGAACTGCTTCCATTTGCACAATCAAAAATCCTTCACCCTGCCAAGAAATGGTCTGAACTGGCCCACTGGATCCCAGCAATTAAACAGCTGAGTTTAGGGTTCTTTGAGAGGTCTAGGTGAGTCCTATCCCCCAGAAGTCTCCTGCTCCTATTTCAACCCTTTTAGGAAAAGTCAGAAAAAGGCCATTTTTAGGGCCTCATCTCAGGGTATCAAGGAACTATAGGTGGTCCACACACTGCTCAACCTGTCCTTGTTTAATGACTACAATTAGATCTGGCAAGTGGAAAGACATATGATTAGGAGAGGCTTACATCATTATTTCCCGTTTGGTTATTAAGCAAGACATCACATGACTACGACTTGCAATTTTACCTCCACATCTCTATAACTCTTCTTGTTAGTAGCAAGTTGGGAAGCACAAATGGTGATTGTGTAACTCTGCGTTGGTCATAAATGTGTGTCATAAATTAACTGCCCAAATAGTGATTGTATGATTGTGGGACACTGCAATGGCTGTGAATGTTAAGGATTGGCTACTTTTTAAAAAAAACATTGTTGTAACTTTGAGTGATTGCCAAATGAGGTAGTTGGTAAGCAAGGACTATCTGAAATAGGATGTGCTTGGTTCTGAATTTGGGAAGATGCTTAAAAAAAAATCAAAGCAGTATCCAGTTAATTAAATAATGATTCTCTAAATTCCTGGCAGTAATTTTTCATAGTTTTACCTTGAGATACTGGGGGCTAAACATGGAATGTACTGATTGCAAAGCAGATATTACAATCTATGTTCTCCAAGAGCACATTGTTGTACATTCCCTTCACAAACTAAAAATAGCACTTTCTTATATTCATAAAAAACTATTCAACCAATTGCTTAAATATAGTTAAAAATGGACTTGAAAATATAAAGAGTCCAGAGAGGACATCAGCAAAAGGTTTTAGAAGGCAAATTCCATGGTACAGCCTCTTCAACTGGCACTCCAAAATAAATATATACAATAGTTAACACCACCACACCTTACTAGCTTTTGAATATTTCATCCTGAAATTCTCAAAAGAGCCATTTTTAATTTTTCTAATAATTAAAAAAATGGATTGTGGCTGTGTAGATGCCATCTAAGTGTTTTACAGGTTTTTACTTTGCTAGCCCCAGGTTTGATCCACCATCCTTCAACTGTAATCACTCAAGGACTGCAAAGTTAATTGTGTTGTAGTCTCCATTAAAAGTACTTTTGATTGGATCCTATGAGCTTGATGTTCTAAATATCGAATGCCAAATTTATGGCCAGAATTAAATCAGAGAAACAAGAAACCTGTTCAAGCAGATTCACTCGAACAATAGAAAAATCCACCCCACAAAAAATGTTTTGTGGAACTGTGGAACTCCACTACTTGTGGAACTGTGTTTTCTCCTCCCGCCCTGTTCTGTACATGCTTTTCTTATTACACTCTTACATACTCAGCCTTCTTCACACCCACTCGTCTGAATGAGTGGGAATGGAGGTGCTTAGGGTTGGATTTTCACTGCATGTTCCCCCTTCAGCTTTCTGATGCCAATCAGATAGCAATGGGGAAAGTGTGGGATGGAACGTCAATGCTCTTCTTGTGGACCTCTTGTTCCCAGTTGATTGACCAGGAGAAAAGCTGAACAGCTACAGAAATCTGGGAGCTATAATCTAAACATACTGAAAAGATGGGGAAGCCTACAGTATCCGTGCGTCAGTTTTCCTCCCAACAAAAGGAAGGGAAACCAATATGGAGTACCTTGCATCCTATAGGCCAGTGGATAAGGTAGAGGTCAAGATAGTTCAACTTCAAGGCCTTCAGAGTTGCCTGACAGGCACCCTTGACCAAAGACTTCTCATGGAACGTGCACCAAAGCTGTAAGAAAGACACGATATGGAGAAGTTAGTTCCCATGTTCCCTGAATTACACACATGGCTGTCAATGTGTCCATAACAACTCCCCTGGATTATAAGGAATTACTTAAAAAACATACTAGATCTTGTGTAAGAAACATGAAAAATCTGGAGGGTGGAATGTAACTTTCAAGAAAAAGACCAACGTCTTCAAATTATCAGTCCATTCTTCAACTCAAGAATAGATTGGATAGGGGCACTAAATTTAAAGTCAATCCCAGCAGGAGTCTAGAGAGGCTGTAGTTGCTGCCACAATCCATGTTACAAAAAACTGGCCTTGAAAGTAGTTCAAAAACTGTGACCAGTCCAAAAAAAAAAAAAAAAGCATCAAGGTTATTAACTAGATGGATGGAAAATTTCTTAAGCGTGATTTATACAACCATTTGTAATTTTTATTTTATGTATCTATTTGTATTCTGCCTTTATTATTTTTACAAATAACTCAAGGTGGTGAACATATCCAACACATCTTCCTTCTCCTATTTTCCCCACAACAACCCTGTTAGGTGAGTTGAGCTAAGAGAGAATGATTGGCCCCAAAGTTATCCTAGCTGGCTTTCATGATTAAGTCAGAACTAGAAGTCGTGGTCTGCCACTTTCTAGCAGGACATTCTAGTTCTAATTTTGCATTTTTTATGTAACTTTATCCCTGGAACTAATCAGCATGATCTGACATTAATGATTTTTAATGTCTACAACAGTTATTTATTTATTTAATTTGTATGCTGCTGAATCTTCCTAAACTCTGGGGAGGTTACAAATATCCAGGGTGTTTAAAAACATTCAGAATTAAGGGTTTCCCCCCTCCACCCCCTTAAGATGTAAATATATAATACCTTGCTGACAATAAAAAGATCCTCACGCTTTACAATCCCAGCCTGGATTGCATCCTGAATACCGCTGCCAATTTCTTCTTCGTTCTCGTATACATAGGCACAATCAATATGGCGGTAGCCTACATCAATCGCCTTCTTCACAGCATCTTTAACTTTTCCTGGTGGAGACTGGACAACAGAAGAATCCTAGTGAACAATCTTATTTGGCTAATTTATCACATAGCAAGCAACTTACCTATGAAAAGTAAGATATTAGTTTAATATTTAACCACAGTTGGTTGTTTTGAGCAAGGTCCAAAAATGGTATAATATACAAGTCTTAAGATGGCAACCTTTGGCCTGCACCTAAAGCAAAGCCATAAAAAAAACCATTTTACAGTATAGGATGATATGTGATTGCACCTAATGCAATCAGCTTGTCTATCATGCTAACAAAGGTAATGCAAAAACACACATCAACCCTGCCTGTCGTCAATTTGGAAATAAAGTTTATTAAGAATAGAAAGTACTTTATACTTAACCATAGCTAACAAAGACCATGATACAAAATAAGGTTTCCTAATCTAACCATGGTTTCCCATCTTGATTTGCAGCCAACATTTAATCACAATCTGTGATATCTCTAGGCAAGGAAAATGAAAACTGTCACATCTACATAGGCCAACTTTGCAAGTTTCATTAGTGATAAACTATATTATAAACATGAATGCCAATGAACAAGTTAGAAAGGATGCTAGCTTTCAAAGGAATACAAAGTCAGAGTGCTGCATTTTAGCTCTTGATTGGATATACTATCTTGGATGGGAGAGCTGTTAATGCTTAACCTCTCCTTTGGTAAACAAGGAATGACTGTCATTTCTGAGTCCCACTTATGATATAATTGATTTGCAATTTTTGACAGAAATACTGATATAATTCAATACTCTGCAATAGCAAACTTGAGAAGAGAGCAAGAAAAAAAGCTAAGCATCAAGGTTCCTGGAACTTCTTATGTGTTAGCCCTGTTGTTTGGGGATAATGGGAAATGTAATCCAATATATTTATTCGTTTTTAATTGTTTTAGTCCCACTTTTATTTTTATAAATAACTCAAGGTGGTGAACATACCTAACAGTCCTTCTTCCCCTTATTTTCCCCACAACAACCCTGTGAGGTGAATTGGGCCACTAAGCTGATTTTCATGCCTAAGGTGAGACCAGAACCCACTTTTCTGATTTCTAGACTGGTGCCTTTACCACTAGAACGAACTATCTCTTTTATTTATTTTTGCATACATTTATTAGTTATTAGCTAAAAGGGTATTTCTCAACCCTGGCAACTTCCAGATGCGTGGACTCAAGGCTATTTCTTGACAAGATGAAGGATTTTTGATTCTACAAATGGGAACAATTTGTCTCCCAACCCCTGTTCTGACCTTCTAAAAAAACAACCACCCTGAAATAATGCTTACTTTGATGTCACCACCCTTTTGCTGATGATGTGCATGGTCCTTGAGTTGATCAGTTCTTTGTGAATGTACTGTTCTGGTTGGGTTATTGTG